TCCGTTCTAGTTTTTGAATCACATTCACTCATTACCTGTGCTACACTGTGGTATTGTCCATTTTGTTTCCCACCTTCCCGCTGAGCTCCCCCAGCAGTCTCGCTTCCCAGCCCTCTGCCTTTGGAGCAGCTATGGGGCCCCAGATGTGGACAGACAGGAGCCCTGACCTACCTGAGATGCTGATGATAAGGCTAAAGGATGAGTCCTGTGAGATATCCAGCCTTTCTGTCCTATGTGGCATGGACAAATTTTTTCAGCGCTTGAGCAGTGCTTAACTACCAAGGTAAGTTAAATAAAGCTGATGGCTAAATTGCCCACCGGCCTAATGACAGAGCAGCATGCTGTCATTAAGGTTCCAAATGAAAGTCCTACACGGGCTTGTCTCAGTGAGTGCTGGGAGGGCCTCCTGACTGGTCCCTGGGTGGTGGCTTCTGGGGAGAGGCACTGAAAGCCTTGGATATTTGCTACTGAAACCCCTTTGGCAGCCTCTACCCTCAGCAGCTGCTGAGGGAGAGGAAAATCAACTGAGGCAACAGAGGGATCTTGGAGGGTTCCAGCTATGAGGAGATTTTTACCATTGCTAGTGGGGGTTAGGACATGAAGGGAGAAATGGGACAATTTCCCTCTTAATGCTATTAATTTTTTTATAAATTAAATAAAATTCCATTTTATTCCAGTAAAATGGAATAACTCCTCCATCTTTAAGTGCTTAGTTTGCACTGACAAAATTACAAACACAAATTGCGGACATTAAAAAAATTTATTTGAACAAATATTAGAGACAATGACAGAGGAAAAAAGCAGCTCTCAGTACAGTTTCTTTTCCAGAATGAAATAATCCCTGTTTTAGAACAAGCTACTGTAGGACAACCCTTACTCTCCCCAGCAGGAGGGGACGCTGGTGTTCCCTCCACCTGTGGATTTGCCCCGTAGGGGTATGGCATGCTAAGGATGGCAGGTCACACCACAGCCCTCGGTCTCACAGGCTAAAGAAATGCATAAAGACCCAACAGAAAACTGAACTAGCGATACAGCAAAGGTGCCTGCGCAGGTAGGAAATAGATGCAGGAATACATTGCTGAGCGAGAGCTTTGTTCAAGAAGTGGCATCCTGCCCCAGGGCGTGTAGGACAGGTCACTTCTAGCTACCACCTCTCTACTCTCCATCTCTCGGGACTCCTCACTGGACCTGGATGGCATTTCAGCTGGGGGAGTCCTTTCAGTGTTCAGCCCGTTTTGCCACACCACCCTTTTCAGGTCTCTAAGCCTTACCCTACAGGCAGCTCCAAGGCTGCGGGACACCTCCCTTTGCAAGAAGACCTGCCCACCTCTGTCATACTACGATGCTGCCCAGGGAGAGAGCAGGCTTGTCTCACGTCCTGGGGGCTACATGAGCTGCGCCACAAAAAGAGATGTTTGCAGGCATTTGCTTGGACCCAGAGCCATACTGCATTACTTGAATTTGGTTTTTTTTAGAGGCCCACTAGCTCAGGTATGCTTGCTTTTGGTGCAGGGCAAACAATCCACAGCTGTATCACCTTCTGTCACATTACTCCAGAGCGTCCCCAAAGTGATGGGCCATGGCCAGGTGCAGAGAACCCCCTGAATATTGAAAGCATTGCTTGACAGACCTGTCACACTCTCTGCTACACAAACCAGAACGAAATGTCTCTGTGAAAGAAGTTTCAGAAATTGATGCAAGTTCTGTAATAAAATGTGTATAGGTTCAATGGGAAATTAATCCCCAGAGAAACAGGTGAGAGGGGAACGGAGCAAACATAGTGAGTGTTTTTCTCTGGCAGGAATTTTATGGATTTCCTTTGCTTTTGATTTGAGCAGATCCAGCAGTGACTTTTAAGAAAGGCAAGCACAACAGAAAGGAGCCCTGAGCCCTCCGTTCCTGTTCTGCAGCCTCAGGAAGAACAGAACAAGGTAAATTCCATTCTCCTACATAGATCTGAAACTGAGGATTTTACTGACCAAGAGGAACTTGTCTCTCTCACTATGACCCCTCCTTTTGATTCAGAACTTAACGTATGAACAATATTACTTTGAAATTGAGATCACTAGCGAATTTTCTAGGTCCCTAGAAGATTCCCCGAATATTAGCATCTCAACTAAGTAGAATCATAACTTTGATTTAACAGTGTTCATTCTTCTTTCCTTCTCCATCTCCCTTTCTTCCTTCTGTCTTTTTTTCCTTTTTATTCCCTTCCTTTTTCTTCCTTCTCTCTTCTTTCATTACATGCATGGCTCTCCATCTACAGTTCACCCCTTGGTAGTGTTATAAACCCTTCGCTGACAGTTTCATCTCTGCTAGACAGACAGAGCCACTCATCACTGTTCCTCACCTGTTCTTTCTCTCAAAACACCACACACACAAAAGGCCTTTCAAAATAGGTCCCCAGGTTCATGACTACCTCTTAAGATAGGACTATAGCACTGGCACCCACTGGACTAGAGTCCTCTCAGAGAATGTTTTGCTTAAAGAATTACTGTAGCTCCCAGCACATTTTCTCTTCAGCCTGCTAATGGCCTTTACTTAGGAAAAACCTTCTCAAGGGTACTCACAGTACAGGGCTGTTAAGAAAGAGATTTTTCACAGCCAAGTGACTTCTACCTATTTTGGCAAGCAGAATCAGAGGGGGAACCCAAGTCTCACATTACAAACTCTGCAGCCATGTCTGACCACGTTGCAGTCGCCTCTAACTGCCCTGGCCCTACTCTCTGCCAAGCCTGTAAATCAGCCAAAACATAGGCAGACTTCAAAAGTCCCTCATGTTTATTATGCTGCGTCACAACTCTGAAAGTGTGTTAGTTTCAGACAGAAAACTGGTAATTTTGAATAATGTAAGGAACCTGCCTGTTCTGGGGTACGGAGTCTTGATGTATCAAAGGCTCCCATTAGTCTGGGACACTACAGACATGTCCAGCAGGTACTTGTAGCTGCCTGGACCATTCCATATCCCGGCACAATGGAAATCCAGTTCATGTCTCCTAGGCATCTGATACGGTAACCCAGCAAGAGCCAGGTTTCCAAGCCTGGCAGCTTATCATACCCTCCTCGCTGGGGCCATAGGAGCAGTCACTCCAAGAAGGTGCAGAGCCAATACTGGCATTGGGTGTTTCTTTTTCCCCCCTCCCAAAGCAGCTTCAAACAAAACAAAAGAACTTCTTCCAGCGGCACTTGGAGAGAGTTTTGATGCCTTTGGCGGTCATCTTCTTTTCCTGCCGTGCTCTGTGCTCAACACCGCTGACAATGGCCATGTCAAAAACTTCTTTGAGGTTCTTCTGAGTCAGTGCTGAGCATTCCAGGTAGGCTTCAGCCCGGATTTTGTCAGCTAGACCTTCTGCCTGAGGCCGGGGCACAGGCTTCACGTGGTAGCGATCCAAGCTGATGAGGACATTGACATCGTCCCGCAAGTCTGCCTGCGTCCCCACTAGCAGCACCGGTGCCCGGGGGTTGTGAGTTCGTATCTCAGGGATCCATTTCTCAGTAATGTTTTGGAAGGAGCTTGGGTTTACCACACTGAAGCAGACAAGGAAGACGTCGGTGTCGGGGTAACAAAGCGAGCGCAAACAGTCAAAGTCTTCCTGTAGAAAGTGGAGGTGGGAAAAAGAAAAAAAAAATTCTTCACTGGACTGACCTCCTAACAGCATGCTGCTGCAGTGGCTTTTTTGCACGTTAACTAGGACAGCAACACCCTCAGAGGCAGGGCATCGTGCCGACTTTGTGGCTGTGCCACGGTTCGGACACAAATTTCAGAGCTGAGGGAGTCTGTCATTCACCCTGTCTGTGACAGCCATACCAGCGAAGGGCTGATGCTGGACCAGGGCATTTCCTTCCTTCCCAGTTAAACACCGCCTTCCTCAAAAGCCTGCAAACAGTCCCTGTCCCACAGGACCAGAGGTGACAGCTGCTTTGATAAAGCTTACCTGTCCAGCGGTGTCCCACAGCTGGATCCGGACCGGGGCTCCATCCACCAGGACCTGCACTGTAGCAAAAAGAGAAAAAGGATGAGTCTGAGGGAGACGTCCAGCATACACACGCACACTCGTACAGACTTTTCCCCAGAGCACTCTGGTTTGTATCCCACTGAACAGACTCACTGAAGTCACTCAAGTCTGTCCTCCTTGCTGAGCATCCTCCCAAACCTCACTAAAACAGCTGAAGCTTGCACTGGGAACATTAAGAGACCTGCAATAGACTTTCTGATTTGGTTATCCCTCAGGTGTTTTGGGCTCTTCTCCAGTATTTTGAAAGAATAGTTCCATATTACTGAACAACTGCTTCTGTAGAGAAGAAGAGCCCTTAGCCAAACAGTGGCCTGAGAACAACTTGTTCTTCTTCTTCCACAACCCAAGGAAGCAGATAAGGATAAACACAAACTGAGAACTTCAGCAACTTGCTCCTGGCTTCTTGGCCAAGGGTGGAAGTTCAAATCAGTCTCCATTAAACAAGTTATTGGAGATTTTTCTCACCCAGGCCAGAAATTTGGCCTTGGGGGGGGCGGGGAGAACACAAAAAAAAAAAAAAAAAAGGTGTTTCTGTGAGTGCCCTAGCTAAGGAAAAGCAAAGACCTAAATCCAACTTTGAAATGATGAAGCTATTAAGGAAACAGTGATGAGTGAAATCCCCTTCAGAGAGTATCCACACACTGAAAAACTGCTGAGTTACACATGTAAGGTCTGCTCCCATTTCACTCCCTAATCACAGTAAGCCTTCATGTGGTATCAGCTGACTCAGACTGAGGGCTGGCAGGACCTCTGATGGAAATCTGGAATGAAACTGTTAGATGTTTAAGTGCACAGACACCACAGAGACTGGCTAGGAACTGAGGAAAAGGAGAAAGGGGTTGGGAGAGCTGGAAATCACTTGGAAGTCCTGACGTGGATGGGGCTGTGGGCTGGTGAATAGAGGCAGACATCCTGGCTAAGGTGACAATGGCTGGCTCTTGACACGAGCTAGCTAAACGCCCTTGCTGTGCCTGGGGTGGAGGCTTTATTGTCCTTTTTGTTAAAAAACAAACAACCAACCAAACCCTAAACCAGAAGCAGGATCAATCTTTTCTGATTCTTGAAGTAATTAGCCAGGTGAGAAAAGTGATAGAAACAACTGACTTGGAGAGTTTAACACAAGCTCTCAGAGGAGAGCCTGATCTAGTTGAAGATGACCCTGCTCATTGCAGGGGGGTTGGACTAGATGACCTTTAAAGGTCCCTTCCAACCCGAACTGTTCTATGATTCTATGAACACTACTGCTCCTTGAAAGCAGTCTGGGGAGAAAGAGGGAGACACAGACAAGAGATGAACTTAAGTTTGGTGGGAGACTGAGACTGAAGTAAAAATGAAGGGGTGGGTGCGTCCACCACAGTGCCACTCCTCACGGCGTAGCTGAAAGTCATTGCTTTCAGCTGGGAAACGGTTGGGTTGTTACCATATCTTTGCCCCAGAGGAGGAAGAGAAACCAGTTCCTGATCAAAGAACCTGCTGGATCCTAACTTGATCTTCAAGGCACTGGGCATTTGCCTTTCTAGTATCTGGTTTCTTCTGTCTCACAAGTGCATTGAGAGAAAGAATTAGCATCTCTGAAATGCTTTACTGTCTTCAGAAGAAAGGCACCATGTATATTACCTGCTGCTCCAGTGCTTGCACGAAGTTTCGTCGTATCTGCTGCTAGTCTAAGCTATGCTAGCAACTCTGCGACAGCCCTCACAAGGTCCACACCCTCAGGATGAGGCTGGATTTCGGTTCAATAGCGAAGGGGCTGGCAGAACAGGATAGCCTGGTGGAGAAAGGTCACCAGGTACACGTTTCACTCAAGGCTGCTCTACCCGAGAGTGACACTCAGCAGGAGGCAGCACGCAGAGAGATGTGGCTGGGTCACACTCCCAGAGCCGTGCCCCTGATAATGCAATACTTTCTCCTATCCTGTTATTGGCATTACAGTCCCGTGATCAGGATTAAAGTTAGGATGTAAACTGCTCAAACGTTCTGCTGGCATTTGCAGTTGCAGGTATTCCCCAAGAGTGAAGGGAATTGGGTTGAAATTTCTGAAATGCATCCTGAACCATAATCTGTGAATCTAAGGAGGGACTCTTCAAGTTTAACCAGGTTAAGAGTAGGCATGGGAAGGGACACTTCTCTATTCTCCTGTTTCCTCCTAATAAGCAGAAAGTGAACTTCAGAAGACCCATTTTTAATGTTTTGATTTCTATCAGTTGCAAATCCTATGCACCTCTGGAAGTCAGGCTTGGTACTTGGACATTCAGAGTGGGGCTAAACCCACATGCAGCTATCTTCCAATTACTTGCTGCTAATCGGGGAGTCTCTGAACTCATACTGCCTCCACCTTTCTGGATTGTTTTATTATGGATTTGCCCTTTCAAAAAAATGTGGAGGCTAATAACTACGGTAATTTCAAGCCTCTCAGCCCAAACCATACACATCAATGTAAAGGGAGCAGAGAGAGCAGTAACCTGTCCCTTGGAGGACTTGAGGGCTCCTTATATCTATTCTCAAAGGGCTGCCGGACCCTGAAGAGCAGCATGTTCCCAGCTCATTTCGATCAAGTGACAGTGGAAGAGCTTGGAGAGGGTCAAGGCAAATGAACAATTCCCAGTGTGAGAGTGAGCAACTGGGGGGACATTCAGGCAAACAAAACGCTCCCTCTAATCTAAGAACCCCCGAGACTATGACACATTAAACGTCTTGTTCCTGGTCTGACTTGAGCCCGTCTCTAATCTACCAATCTATACTGTCACGTACTGATGTGTTTCTTCACATCAAATGAAGATCGGAAATCTTCCAAAAGGCTTTGTATTTTCCTGGGGTTTATATTAGAAATTGGAGCCCAAAGGATGTGGGGTGGGGAACAGGAACAAAGACAGCCTTTACAGAGGTGGATGAGAGCTCATCAGCTGACAGGGGAGGCAATTCTAGCCAGACTTATGAAGGTCTTCAACTTTTTGGCAACCTCTGTTCAATGCTAACTTCAGTGGACCTGTGGGTAAAAGGATGTTTCTGCTGAATATCAGTCGAAGCTAGGAAGCCTACAGTGCAACACTGTGGTATTTCTGAAGCTAAAAAGCACCATCACTACCACCACAAAATTAAGTCCCCTTCTATTTATCCATAATAACACCACAAAACCAGTAAGGTGCCCCATTTCATACAACTTGCAAGCCAATGTGACACACGCCCTGCTGACACTGTAGCTTCTTCACCGAAGCTGCAAAACGCAGCACTTCCATCTGCTAAACTTCGGTAAGCGCCTGAGGGGACTCGGTGCGAGCTGCAGAAGCTCC